ATGATGACTGAGAGTAAGATCAAAGGAATTCCAGCTAGTCCAAACAACGTACACGCGTAGTGAGCGCTTCCTGCTGAGTTTACGGGTAGTTAACCCTCGGCGCGCATGCGCAGCGAGGGTTACGGTAGTTGGGTTTGTCTGTCTGTCTGTGTGTGTGTCTGTCTGTTACTCGTCATCTCACTTCTCGAGTGTTCGTTCGTCTCACAAAGGATACCACCTACTGAACGGGCAATGAAGGTCAGAAAATATGTGGGGTTTTCTCTGAAACTGCTCCGTTGCAGAGCTAGAGCGCGAAAAAGCTAATATGCAAATAGCAACGGACGGGACGGCTTACCACAGTCTGATCGATCCGCGTGCTCTGCGTACCTCAGAGGCACCAGAAGATGCAACGCAGGGCGTGTATCGCCTCTCGCATGCTATCTAGTAGTGTAGTTAGCCCGCGTCAGACTCTGCGCGAGCTGGGAAGAGACCACGAGTAACAGCTAAAACTAAACCCAGCCCATCAATTAGTGGTACTGCGCATGCATTTACTTACGCGTGCGCGTCACAATGCGCCGAGGGTTTGCACTTCAGTGCTTTTCATTATACCATAAAGAGGCCATACGATTTCCCCATACTTTAGCTGTATGTCAACTCATTTGCATAAACCACAATGGGTATATGGTAGTTATACGATAGTAGGAAATTGCCAGCGTGTAATGCAATTAGGGGGCTTTCACACTCTTTGTGTGCTGCTGTTTCTTTACCAGAAGGGAGTGTTTTCAGGCTGGAATGGCCAGAAACTGCTGTAGTATATACGCTGTCTGAAAACTAGCTAAAAACTGCTTCCAGACGCGTAGGCTCCCGTAGACTGGAACAGTATGTGACTTTCAGCTTTCTTGCTACTGCAACAGGCTGCATTCGAGAGCGCTGGGTATAGCGCGGGAGAGAAAGCGAGCCAGAGCGGCAGCTACAAAACTCGCGTGGAGTCCAGCAGCGAAAAAGTGACGTACTTGTAACGTTAAACTCTAGAAAAAATGACCATGGCTTCTGCACAACCGTCCAGCTTGACCAAACTAAAGCGCTTATTGCAGCTGTCTCTCCGCTCCCGATCGGTCGCTAGCTCTCTCAGCTCCGGCCCCGTACACTCGAGGGTGTGCGTTAAAAAGAGGGCATTTTGAAAGCTTTTGTGCGATCTCATTGGTCAGAGCCTTACCGCGGGATGTCGTCATACAAACACGTTATACGATGGCTTTGCTTGTGGTTTACTGGTTGTACACTCGTGGCTTCAGTTTTGATAGACCACTCGGGCTACGCCCTCGTGCCCTATCAAAACTGGCCACTCGTGTAAAACGAGTAAACCACGCGCCGCCATCGTATAACCTATACTTATGCAAACACAAATGGCTCTCTATAAACATTCTAAAAATTAATTTTCTGGTGAGTGTTAAAGTTTTGCGTATTTTTTATTTGGTATGAATCATCAATACTGTCTATACATACAAACAATAAAAGACAAAGTATCCAAAATCCAAAGTTGGGTCGCTCCCGCTCGCCAACAATGTTCAACATTCTTCTAGTATTATTACCTGAATAAGAGCATTCGAGGCTCACAGCAGACCCGCTACCTCCAGTGGTGTAGGGACAGTCAATCAGTTTCACCTCATTTCCCTCACAACTGACATTGCTGATGACGACAGGAAACCCCTCTAATCCATAGTAATCATTGTAGGAATATGGTGAAATTCCTGTATAGGTTAATGAGGTAGAGTCAATGGGTATATACACAGAAGTGTCTTCCATATACTCTCACTATTTTCTAAACAAATTCACCACTTCTTCCCAGTTGGTGACAAACGGCATTAGTATCTTCAATTGTCCATGAATCGTCAGAAACGGTTCCCCACTGACTATTAAACCATACAAGAAGTAGACCTTGGTAGTCGTTAATGTCGTAGTCAATCAATAACACTTCTCCTTGTTCTGGAGCATCTGCAGGACAATTTATATTAAAGAGAGCTTCTTATAGTGATCTCATACAATGAGGTATAGTGTAAGATACGCATGTCTCTATGATTTGCATAAGCTGTCGTGAATTCATAATGCAAAATGGCTTTCATACAGCAAGCAAGCCTATCTAGTTGTCTGAATGCGGGATGTTTAATCCGATACTGTAACTTCATACGTATATTATTATAACAACTGAAATTTTTACACTGATGTTTGCTCGCTAAAAATGCAGTAGCTAGATCGTTCTAGTAGTCTAAATATGACGAACCGTTCTTGCAGGAAATGCTCCAATCATATCTGTGGTCTCGCCCAGTACGAGAACTGCCACAATCCACTAGTCTGTATTCATTTCCAGAGCATTCCAAGCGATTAAGATGCACTGCTCCACTACCTTCTCCAAAATATGTATCATACCCATAGGATTTATCAAAGTATTGATCTGTGATAGAAAAAAACATGCAAAAAAGTGTAATCCTTACACATTTGTATAATGGCCACACCGTGTGGGTATGAATATTCAACTGCAATTATATTGGTGATCAGGGACACTATTATTATATTATTGTATGCTGCAGGCTATATGTAGTTCACTATTATGATCAGTATAATATTATTATGGAATGCGTGAGAACATGAAGTCTTCATTCTCTGCTGACTCACATCGAATGTCATAACCAAGTTGTCGACAAGCTACATGAGCATCCTCATCCTCAGCTTGATCATTGCTAATAGTTCCCCATTCTCCATCCAGATAAATCTCAACTCTCCCCTCCCAGCTGAGCGGTCCTCCCACCAGACGAATATCTCCACTTTTAAAATCAGAACCTTTAAACAACGAAAAGCACTAAAGTCGGCGAACTGCGCATGCGCGATACTGCTACTGGGGCGTTTACTCGCTAGCAGCTCGCGGAGTCGGGCACGCTACAGTAGTACGGGAGTCGATGCATGCCATTCGTTGTGATTTCCTGAGCCCCCAAGGTACACAGAGCGAACGGATCAGATCGAGGTAAGCCCAGCGCGATTATGCATATTGCCTTTTTCGCTTATTTTCACGGCATATCTGACGAACGCAGTCGTTTCAAGAAAAACGCCCTTTTAGTTTTCAGGGCTCGCGTAGTTCTGAAGCCGCTGGTATCGCTAATAGGCCGCCTCGTAGCCTGTAGTGCCAGAATAAGCGTCGACAGACAGACAGCCAGATACCGTTACCCTCGCTGCGCATGCGCGCCTAGGGTTAATAAAAAGTGCATTCGCGCATGCGGTAGCGTTCGCGCACGTAAACCCGCATTCTAACGACTCACTTAGCTTATTTTGCGGCACCGGATGTTCAATTACTCGGTGCGATCCCCATACGCCTACACTGGCGCCGTTCCCCATTGGCCAGGAATGTACTCATGCAGTTTTTCTTGGCTGATAGCACTTCACCTTCTCCACATCTGACCCCCACATCGCTTTGATGAGTTGCTGGGGGGACTTTAGAAAAGAAGCATTGAGTGATGTTGAGCTCTGATCCAGAGCAGTTGATGGAGGTTATATGGACTGCACCAACTCCTTGGCCATACTGGCTACAGCACCTGTAAGGAACTGCACCTATTGTAGGCATAATACTTACGTTGTCAATCACGATCACATGGACTTACCTTCCGAAGGTAATTGAAGTTGTTTACACACAACCTGAGCTTCTGACATACCCCAGTCAGCATCACTGATGGTTCCCCATGTTCCATTCCAGAATATCTCCACTCTACCCTCCCAGTTGTGAGGTCCTCCCACCAGACGAATGTCACCATTGCGATAATTGTCATCAACTGAAATCCATCACAATACCTAACGGATTGAATAATTATTTAATCTTACTTGTGTTGCATTTGACTCCCACATCCTCATCATGGCTGCTCTGTCTTGTTCCTGTCCCTGTCTCACAGTCAGTCAAGTTGTATTCCATGCCAGAGCACACAATGTGGTCATAGTGTATAGGGCCACTTCCTTGCCCAAAGTACGCTCCAGTAAATGGTGAAGCTCCTGTGGGGTTTCAATAGCTTTTTTCGTTTCTGATGATGCTAACCCGTTCGTTGGTGAGCTACATGCTATCGTGATAGTGTATAGCTACTTTTACAAAGCCCTTTGTATGTACTACTTGCTTGTAAATCTCACCAGGTCTGAAGTATCCCATGGTACGACACACAGCCTGTGCATCTTCACTGGTCCAGTCAGAGTCAGTGATAGTGCCCCATGATCCAGCAAAGAATGTTTCCAGTCGTCCCTCCCACTGATAGGAGCCGCCGACCAGACGCACATCACCACCTCTGAACGTAGCTGCCAAGGGCATGAAGAAAGCATAGCTATTGATGTCGCGTTTTATAGGTGTAGGCACCACTGGACACTCACCGGCTGTTGCGCGTAAAAGCACAACTTGTAGAAGAGAGAAGACTACGAAAAACATGATGTTTCTGTCCTCCACACTGAGCATGAGACGGGCATGTGATGCACGCGGCTAGGACGGACAAAATACGATGCGCACGCGCTACTGCTTCCCCGCCCGCCGCTCAGCGGTGCGCGTCCGCGCATGCTCACGCGTATAATAAACCGCACCGAATGGCTTTTGTTCTCGTTTGTGCGTTCTAACAACTTGTGCTAAATCCTCAGCAAGTTGTGCGTGTACAAAAACAGAATGATAGCTAGCTACAACAGAGACAAAAATGACATAAATCATTCAAAATGTTCAACAGTTCACAATAAATCAGTTAAAGTAACCATTTTGCATTAGCATAGTTGGTAGCACTAATGACGCAATGGTGGAGGAGGTTTTTTCCCTTTAACACCGCCATATCCTCCGGTGACTTTTTGCGGAGCCGCGTAGCAACTCTCCCTCTCTAGTGTGCTCAATTTCAGTGGCTCGTAAATGCCCGAAGGTTTCGTTGGTGGACTGGATGACAGACTAGCATAGTGAGCATCTTGTGTAGTTGTAGTGCACTTTGGAATCTCATAGTCTTTCGAGTCTGGTTCATCAGGTATTTTCACGTTACCTTCTCCTTTGCCTTGAGCAGAATTTCTATAGTAGACTCTATAATAAAATTCTATGGCACGAGACAGATGAATAAGTCGTGATTTAACTCACCTCATTTTCTTGTGTAATCTTTTTGACCAGAGAATGTAACCAACAAAAGCAATTGACAAAAGAACCAAGCCAACAAAAGCCACTAGAGCCACAATGAGGCCGGTGACATTATCACCACTATCTGTTGCTGTGTTGTTGTCGGACTCAATATTGTTAGCACTGTTACTGCTACTGCTGCAGTCAATCCAAATGTCTCCAGAGTGGCTGTCTTCACTGGTGTCTCTGTGATAGGCACAGTCGGTGAGTCTGGCTTCAGTTCCATGGCAGCCAATGTTGTCCATGTATATGGGAGTGGAGAGAGTATTTCTGACAGCATTTGCTGAGTACTGCCCTAAATTGTGGAGCAAAGAAGTAGGTTATATTCATGCAGGACCACTTAGATGAGCATACTAAGGTTTACTGTGCAATAGGTTACAAGTCTGCCTTGTGTTGTAAAATTTGAGTCCCTGCCTGCTGAGCTGCCTTGGTAGCTCAGTAGATCACCTTGCCTAGACTACAGAGTGTCGTGGGTTCGAATCCTACCCAGGGCAGCTTTTTTTTCTTCGGATTTGTCCTGGGTTTAGTTGACTTGTGGTTTGCCTTGCAGCCTCTTGATGTTTAGGTATATACATCTACCCATTGTCTACCATCCTCCACCCCCTCCATGCACTCTCTGATATACCAGCATTGTTAAATCCAAGTTGTCTGCAGGCAACATGAGTGTCCACATCTGTCCATCCATCTCTATTCACAGTTCCCCATCTCCCACTGAAGCACACCTGCAATAACCCATCATTCTCTGAGTCTCCTCCCACCAGTCTCAGATCTCCATCATCACATTCAGCTGTGCAAACAAAAAAATCAGCAATCAGCAAAGCAGTATAGGTGAAAACAAAGACATACTAGTTTTCATGGGCACTCTATACTATACTACTCAAGATTTAGATGCAACCCACAATAATGGTAAGAATAACATGAACGCTCATTCTGCTATCTTACACTTTTTGCATTTGACTCCAACGTCTTCCAAGTGAACACTGTGTGTATGATTTCTTCTGAAGCCGCACTCCAAGAGGCTCAGTTGTCTACCAGTACATCTGACATCCTTTATGAATACTGGCATTGAGTTTGTGGCTGGCCTCACTGAATAGTCATTGCCTAAAATAACAGGGAAACTGAATTTATTGCAAAGCAACACATTATTGGCCATAAACATTTCTTCCTACCCGTGGCCTCATATCCGAGGTCATTACAGACGATAGTGGACTCTGTCTGAGTCCATCCATCACCACTGATGGTCCCCCATCTCCTACTGAAGCAAATCTCAACCCTCCCCTCCACATCAGTGGCTCCATCCACCAGTCTCACTTGCCCATCCACACAGCTTGCTACGAAAAGAAGACAACACAACAACAGGCTCTCACATATATAAAATGTTGGGTTAGCTACAATGTTTTGGCTTCAACTTATGAAACAGTTTGTAGAAGTGATACCTGGTTCACATGAGATATAGGTGAGGTCATAATAAGGGCAATGACTTGGACCACTGCGGCTATAGGTGCAGTCAAATATACGAGACTCATCGCCATGGCAATGTAGTGTCAGGTTTTGAACTGGCATGTCAGTAATCTCTCTTCCCCCTCCGTAGTAGTTCACTGGAAGTAATAAAAAAACAGCAAAAACCTAGCTATAATTATTATGGTTTTGTTATGAGTTAGTAGCAATACAGCAAAGAATGTATATCGGAAAGTTGTGTTTGAGAATTACACTCCCATATTATATATACTAAAATAAACAATTTCTTACCTTCTCTATAAGTATATCCAAGTTGACGGCACAGAGTCTTTGTATTTTCCTCGTTATAGTTCTGGCAAAAAAGACCCCATCTTTTGTTGATGCAAACTAAAACAAGTCCTTCTTCTTCAGACCCTGCTGTGCCTCGTAACCTGACATCTCCATCTTCACAGTTTGCTACAAAAATATTATAATGTTGTTATGGTAGCCCTCTGTGATAAAATTAATGTATTGCCTGGTGGACAGATGATTCCAATATCGTCATCATGGCTACACTCAGAAAAGCTGTGGCTGAAGTAAGTGCACTCCCCCAGTGAGTTCTCTGTCCCTGAACATCTCACATAGTCCGCAGCAATTGGAAGGGTGGCTGGTATCCGATTGAACGTGTAGTATGTATGATATGACCCTGTAAAGATGTTAGTGTCGAACATGAATATATACTTCTTTATAGAGTCGAGGTGTCCTTAATTTATAATAATTACATTTGACACTGTAGTTCATGCTGATACAGTCTTTACCATTCCTTCCAAGCTGGCGACACACAGCATTTGTATCTTCAATTGTCCACGCTGTATCAGACACTACTCCCCATCTCCCATTCAGCCATACCTGAAGCAGACCCCTGTAGTAGTAGTTATAATTACTCCTGTTGAGCATCACTTCTCCTTGTTCAGGGACATCTAAAAGGCAAAGTTTCATGTCAAGGTACACTCACTGTTGTATTTTGGACCTGTAGCTGTGCTGCCTTACGGTTTGGAGGTGTGTAAAACTAGGGACAACTGACACACGACACTACTTAAAAAGTAAAAAGCGTGACCTTCAAACACTGAGCTACCAGGGGGTTCGAAGACTGCAATACATGACACAGAGGAGCATTAGGCAAACCCCAGCTTCTGTACACGATGGCATAGAAACCAGTCACTATTAAGTAAGAGCATATACACAGGACAATTTCTATGTACCATTGAGACATGTAACACTCCAATCTTCATTGTGAGCATATGAACTAGAGCCACTATAACAGTCAATCAGTCGGTATTCAGTGCCAGAGCATCCCAAGTAGTTGAGATGTATCATTCCAACACCTTCTCCGAAATGAGCGCTATAGTAGCTTCTGTCAAACCCATCTAGATGTCACAGAAAATATCATGGGAACAGCAATCCATGTGCAGCCTATTATTACCCTCGGCGCGCATGCGCAGCGAGGGTACGGTAGTTGGGTGTGCGTGTGTCTGTGTGTCTGTCTGTTACTCTACATCTCACTTCTCGAGTGTTTGTTCGTCTCAGAAAGGATACGACCTATACTTAACGGGCAATGAAGGTCAGAAATTTTGTGCGGTTTTCTCTGAAAATGCTCCGTTGCAAAGCTAGAGCGCGTAGTCGGCCATTTTTATCGCTGCGGAAAATGCGCATGCGGTTATTATGCTAATTCGACCGGGCCCGCTTGCTCTGTGTATCTTGAAGGCACAAGAAGTCACAACGAAGGGCGTGTATCAACTCCCGCATGCTATCTACTACTGTAGCTAGCCCGTGTCAGACTCTCCGCGTGCTATACTAGCGGGAGACCACCACGAAATAGCCCAGCCTATCAATTAGCAGTACCGCGCATGCACAGTTCGCCGAGGGTTTGCTGTCGTGCTTTTTTCATTGTATAATACGAGGGGTATATACGAAACGGGCCGTTATGACGTACGAGATTTCGAAAAGCCCGTGATTTCCAACTGATTTCCACCAGATTTTCCAGTGATTTCTTGATTTCTAAGTTGATTTCTCGGTCTCTCGAGGGTTCTATAACTGTACACTCCCAAAAGAGGAGTTCCCTTTACTGGCACGAACAGTAGTCCTGCGCCAGAGGCCCATAAATAATACTGTCCCCGGCGGCCGGCCTGAGCGCTTGTAGTTTACTATAGTGAACAGAGCTATACGGAGAAGAAAAGCGGCACGCGCATGGCAACTTGATTTCTGATTTCCACTTTTCGCTGATT